GAGGTGAAATCCCTCTTTACACTTTATCCTGGTTCTATAAAATTTTTTTATTTTTTCCTGTTTTTTCTTTTTTTGGGGGTTTTTTTATTTTTTATTTCGCTCTTTTCCCTTTTCCCTCTTTTGCTCATTTCCTCTTTTTAGTTATAGTTTGTTTTCGTTTTTTATAGAATTTTTTTTTTTGGATAATTCCAGTCATCTGTGATCTGGTAGGATGGAGTCGCTCATAGGCCTGAGTTAGGTTTCGCACTGTGATATGGAACCATGTAATGTTGGACTTCTTTTTGAAATTTATGTATTTATAAATAAAATTAGTCACGGCGAAACCTGTCGACATTTAAAAAAAAAAAAAAAAAAAAAAAAAAAAAAAATTAACACATTTATTAATAGGTTCATACAAGTTTATATCAAAGAAGCAATATTTCTAGATTTTATTACAAAGCTAATAATGTTATTTACAAAAAAAAAGAAGCAACAGTTCAACTCTATCATGAAATAATTAAAAAGATTCATGAAAACATATAGAAACCAAGTCAAACAGTTTTATATCAAATATCTAACCCACTACCTCAAATAAGTACATATAACCAAATTGAACGAGATTAACATAACAAATACTTACAAATATTTAGATAGATTCAATACCATATTTTAAACAATTATACTCCTATTGATATTTGTAACATAGTCTAGAGGTCTAAAACTGATCTAGCTAAGATTAGATCTGGAGTAAAATAGCTTTATCCCCATCTATAAATAGTTTAGACTAGATCAATATTGTAATAACATGTAATATTTAATATAAATATAATAAAGGATATAAAAAAAGAACCTCTTTTTTTTAAAAAAAAAAGCAAATAATAATATTTTTTTTAACATAATCAGGTAAAGTCTTAATCTTTGTTCCCTAAAACAGAACTAATTTAGTAATAGTTTGCCAAGTACTAGATTTTCCTACAAATCTTGATAATGCATAGTCTGGAGTTTCTTTTCTATACCTATTTTAAAAAGTCACTACATGTATTAAGCTAACATTATTTAAATTAGAAATTATTTTTAAAGACAGTCTTTTGACACTCTAAAGAAGCGACGTATGCAAAAATTTTTGCCGTGTTAGTTTGTAACACTTGAGTTCTTAAAAAGTACTCTAAAGTACATACACATTATACTTTATCACTTAGAATCGTATGTAAATTTTTGGATTTTATGTTCTAGGATTAATTACCCAGAATTTTTAACCCCTTTCAGCATATAAATAAGTTAAACCCCTCAGACGAATTTCTGTCTATGACGTTTTTGATGCATTTCGAGCAAAATCCCTTTCTAAATTCCGAAATTAATATAAGCTTGCATTAGAATTCGGAATGGGCCACCCGGGACGGCTAGTGAAGAAATTCTTTATGGTGCCACGGTGGGGCTGACCACATGACTCACAAGAGGTAGACCCATGGCGCATTTAGTGTACTACAAGAACTCTGGTAATTTTCAACTCTACCGATACTTACTTATAACCGTCTGAAAAATAATCGTAAACTTTAAATGTTATCTAACAAAGTTAACTACTCACGAAATTTTAGTAAGAAGGGGAAAAAAAACAAAACTCTTTAAATTTTATTCCTATTATACGAAAACTTTTTTAAGACATGTATTGCATGCGTTGGTTCATCCCACTACTACTACTACCTTTTCCGAACGCACCACCTTTCTTTGTACTGGTTTTTTTGATTTCATATTTTTTACATCAGAGACCATGGTAAGAAATAAGAAAAAAAAAAGAAAAACATTTCACATAATTTATAATATTTTGTTTTTTATTTGATCTTAAAACACCTTTAATCAACTTCTAACCAATTAAACAAATTGTAATTTTTATTTTTTATGACCTTTAAAAAAAAAAAGCGTGTATTGTACGATACTTCTTTTAGCACTTTTTTTTAGTACGTGTTATTGGGGTCAAGGTCGTTGTTGGTTAGATACGAATAGGGTTACGACTCAAACTTTTTTTTTGAATTATGACATTACTTCGTAGTTCGAATTTGTGGAAATCAGAAATTCTACTATTTCTACACCATTTGGGATGATAAAAAATCAAACCCAATGATATGTCCTATTTCGACCAACAGTGTCAAACTCAAAAAACCAATCAAAAAATGTTAAATCAATGCTACAATTATTAAGACTTCAAGAAAACCTAAGAATGATTTAACGACTAAACAGGACATATTGAATAGTGTTGTATTAGGTCTAAATAATTATATAGAATATGTACACAAATACATTGGCGATCAAAAATAATGCTGCAAGAAGAAAGAATTGGTTAGATTGTAATAATTTCGTAATTCTGGACGTAATTTTTTTTTTTTTTTTTTTTTTTATTTGTAAATAGTATAGTTTTCACATATAAAATTTTAAAAGTATTAATGGGCCAAAATTTTTTTCATGGTCAGAACTTTATCACAATTATATAGCATGTTGTATCACTTTGCTCATTTTAAACAACACGAATATAAAATAATAAATTTTTTTTATAAAAAAATAATATTTCATCAATTAACACACGTTAAATGACCTAAGTAATTCAGGTCTTTTTAGATGACCCAATGACTAATCATTTGTCATTTTGAGTCGTTCAGGTCATTTTACTCCATCCATCACTAAGATCAAGACTTACGAGATTATTTTCTTTATTGAAAAATTTTAAAAGTCCAGTGGGTATTCCAAATTTCTGTCAATGACACCGCATTGGATTTATGTTTAGAGCTCTAATCAAAAACCTTAACGTTAATGCTAATTAAAATATTTAATACATCCTTTACATATTATAATAATATAAGAAGTATATACCAAAAAAAACCTCTTTGTAATGATCAAAAGTTATGCGTGAATTATTATCGGTTATCATATAAGAAATCAATCTTCCGATTTTGAGAAAAAAAAATCGACCATCTAAGCTGAAAATTGAGTTTTGACCGATTTTCTTTTATTATCTGTTATTGGCCGGGATAGCTATGTCGTACTTAATCATTAATCGCATCCTGCGGTACAACACCTTGATTTTCTGTTAAACTACTTTCTACGATATAAGTGTAAGGACCCGATTTTCGTCTGTCCGTAGTCTCATAGGCAATAAAAAGATTACAACGTGGGCAATATAGTCGATATTGTTTTTCATATCCATCATCCCTTGAAGAACAAAGTTTGATGAAATTATTAAATAATAATAAAATATTATGAGAAAAATTTAACGAAATGTACCTTTTCAGAATAACTGGTGTTTCCGATTCAACTGCATTCAATTTATACACCCGCTTTCCATTTGCAATAATATGAGCTCTATCTGTGATACGACGGGGTAATTTATCTAGTCGAGCATCTTTTGGTAACAAATATAAAATAAATTTTCAAAATAAAAAATAAAAAATAAAAATAAATATATATGATATATAAGCACCTATAACCAAAATAAATTCACTGCATAGACAGTAGTAAACATGAAGATGCTGTTCTGGGCGTGTATTTGTCTGTTCAGAGGACGAGACTATAGAACTTGAAACAATTTTTGGCATGCTTAGCAAAATAGAAATAAAATTTTTGACGACCATGCATATATTTTTGGATCAAATTAAAGTCACGTGCTGGTAAATATATATATATAGTTTCCAAATCGTAATTGACTTCTTTTGCTTAAAAAAATCCGAACTACTATCTACTTTTATAATGGTCTGCGCAAAGTGTACGCTAATTTCACACTGCACTTGTTATTAATTTATTAAAGAATTTAATTACATATATAATTTATCTTTTTTCAGGTGAAAAAAAGTTGGCTAAAGTTATTTGTCCGGACAAATGGAAAGAAGGTTCAAGAAATGTAGCAGGTATGCACGATCTTTGTTAATTCCCCGCGATCTTTGCTGATCCTCACTTCTTACAAATTTCTTAAACTTTTTTTATTTTTTTGATAAGTTGGCACAGACAGAAAGCTTCATGAGAACAAATTATTAAGTAAACCCGGTAAAAGTCGGTAAGTAGATTTTTTTTATTATTTTACTCTGTTTTAATTTCTACTTACATTTATTAATACATGTTCTATTAAAAGGTTTAAACCATATGAAAATAAGTGCAAAGTTTGCAAATCTCGAGTACATCAGGAGCATGCGCATTATTGCCAAAGTAAATCTTTTTACATTTTAAACTTTTAATATTAAAGCTATGTACTAAACTATCTTAATCTATGATAGGTTGCGCATACAAACAAGGGATATGTGCAATGTGTGGAAAACAGATTCTTGATACAACAATGTACAAACAAAGTGCCAAATAAGATTGCGACCCAATTTATTACTACATAGTTTGGGTTTTGGGATTTCTACTTCATCTACTTCATTGGGAACAATTATCAAAATCAAAAAATGCATGTCTCATTTTAGTCAATAATGCCAAATTCAAAAACCAGACAACTTTGTTAAATCAAGGATATTAATTAATCAAACTTTGCTATTTTCATTTTCAGATTAAGGAAATTAATTGATTTAACAACTAGACTAGACTAGACTAGACAGGATAAAAGCGATATAGCATGTTAGGTCTAATAGTTATATTGAAAATACCTGTACACAGAAATGAAAAAAAACAATTATGAAGTGAAAGCTTTTCACATTCAAATAAAAACTTTGAATAGTGAATAAAATAAACTTTTCGACAAAGTTTCTTTTGAAATTCGAGTTATCCGTGACGTGGTAAGAATCATTCAATTCTCAAGATAATTTAAACTAAAAAAAAAAGTGTATTATAGCATACTACAGCATACTATTAGCATTATTAATTAATAATTGAATAAAAAGAAGTTTCTGAGCTTACATATCTTTCATATTGATAGAAATAAGCCCTACTTTATCAAATATGATCGACACAAATACTAAGGCATTCAACACTATAACAGTCAGCTTTTAATATTGGCTAACCGGCTATTAGTGCTACTAACAGGTTTGATCTGAACGACCCGAAACTGACTTGTATTATATGGGTCATGACCCATATACTAAATTTATTATAACTAGATCAGTTTCTGATCGTTCAGATCAAACATTAATCGATTACCTAATTATATAGATAAATTAGATATTTTGCAAAAGTAAATATATATATATATATATATATATATATATATATACTATATATATACAGTATATATTTACATTCTAATTAAACATTATCAAGTTATGTATATAGTATATATATTAAACAATTAACTAAATCTTATCTGTTAATTAATAATTGTTAAGATTTTTCTGATACGTATGAATTGCCATTAGTGAGTGATGTTACCAAAGTATATATTTTTCAACTTATCCTAGGTATTGTTCAAAATATAGTATATATATAGCAATATATAGAATACGTACGTACTGTACGTAGAATTGGTTTTAATTAATGGTATTAATACGTACGAAATTGAAATAATGAAATTTATTAGGATATTATGTGAACAAATTATGATTTTTGATTGGTTTCCCGCTCCATGGTATCAGGTATCAGCATCTGTATGTAGGTTACGATCATCTAACCGTTAAGTCATAATAATTTGACAGGGGGTGAAAGTTATTACAAATTCGTTCCTGATTAACATGTTATACCTGACTTTATCAGGCCGAATACTAGAGTAATTTCATTGAACTTTTCGATTTTAGTTTACTATCGCTATTAACTACACTTTGATCTACGACAAGTTTTTATAAGAATAAAAAGTGGGGCTTTTTCGTAAAAAGGCTGATCTAAAAAAAAGAAAAAAAAAAAAAAATGGAAAAATTTATTTTTAAAGCCTTGCCATCGGATTTATCAATTCCTTCAATTTCAAAAATTTCTTCTTTGCGACGTTTCGGTGTAACAAAGCAAAAACAGCCACCACCACAGCAACCAGTAGCGCCAAAAACAATTCCACCTGATTTGTTGCTTCGCATTCTTTTATTTCTTCCAATACCTTCTCTTTCAAATTTTGCCCGTGCTTGTCGTCGTTACAAAATACTAGTTTATGACGATGAATTATGGGAGCACCATCTGAAAATATTGGGTATAAACAAAATCTATGATAATAATGTTATGGATGTTTCTATAGATCTTTTATGCGAAAATACTGTAGATGAAATCAAAGGAAAATCTACTCAAAAGGACAATATTTCAACTTCATCACCAGTAACCAGTCAACCTTTAGAATTTGATTCAACAATTACAGAATCACAAAAGAAACTGAGTTTGGTTCCTGGAATTCCAATGAATTCTTATTTACGAAAATCTCGTACTACGTCTACTGGTGCTGCAAGGGAGACTTTTAAAAAAATTTACACTGCATTATTTCCTTACTATATAGATTTTAGAACTAAACGAAAGGACAGTCGTTTATTTAAAGAGTACAATGACCCATCTGATCAAGCTAAGATGTTGGCTCGATTGACTAAATTTGGAAATTTGAATGCTACTTATGATTCAGATCAGGTATGTTTAAAATCAATTATATTCTAAAATAATGTAGGATCAAATTAAACCTTATTTTAATTCCTCTATGTTTTATAGATTAATAGTGTTCTTGAGACCGTTGTCGAATATTTTGAAAATTCTGCGCTTCATCATTTTGAATTAGCATATGATGCTCATAATTTAAATGAAATGAAGGTTCGTAATTAATAAATAGCTAAAATGTATGTAAACGAGTTTTAAACTATTATTCTTTCTTCCTATTTAAAGAAATGGGCTATTCGTCTTATATATTTGAATGGAGGTATAACTTGCATTCAAGTCTACATACAGAAAAATTCCATATTTTTTGATCATCTATATAATCCAATGGATAATTTTACGTACGTACACAACTTTTAATTAAGTTTTTAACCTAATATAATAAAAAAAAATTAGATTAGAATTTTTCATGTAGTATTCGTTATCTCCAATTAGACAAATTACGGCATTATCTAATGAAGAATTGAGTTTTACATCCATGTCTGAGTTTTTTAGCTATGTAGAAGATGAATTAAAAAAACAAGCCGCTTTGATAGATAAGATATTTCCACCTGATACAAACGTTTTTCATAGTTTCGCTGAACGTGTTTTTGAAGATTTGGTAAATTGTTATTTCATTCGTATTTAAATTTTTTTTTTGTTTTTTTTTTTTATATTATTTTTTCTAAATAGATTTATCAAACAATAATTTTTTCAAGATCACAGATTACATCTCAGAAGTTTTAAATGAAGCTCGTGATCGAGATATTATCCTATACCTCAAGGCTGCAGTTGCGGCTCACATTCGTTGTTTACATGTAGCAGAAATTCTTTGGAAAGAAGTCGAACCTAGTATGGATAAATTAAAGGCTGAGAAACTTATGTACCGTATGTTTGAACCTTTCATGGATGAATATTTAATGATGGAACTTACAACTATCAAATTAAATTGCGATGAACAAATTGAGAAATGGAATCAAAAGGTGATATTTGATGATAACATTTACGGAGGAAATATTATTTTAATTAAGTTAAAATATTACGTCTGAAATAGTAATCAGGCGTTTTATGATTTTCGTTAGTTGATTGAGAAAACATCGGAAGGGCAGACTATCCTTATCAATCCTAATCGGGAAATTTATAAACATGACTACTTAAAATATTTTCGAAAAATTCTTACGCTACCTGCTTCACGTCAAAGGAATTCAACTTCTTCTAAGTCGTCACAAACGAGTTATAATTTTGATAGAAGAGGCAGTGCTGCAAGCTCTCATAGTATCAAAAGTTTAAATAGTCCTTCTAACTCGTCAGATTTACAAGCGGCATTATTGAATATTAAAGTTGATAAACTACAACAGTTGTTAAGCGTGGAGATGACCTTGCATATGATACATGCCAATAAGGATGCTTTACATAGAATAAGCGTATTTCTGGGTTATCCGGACAAGATGGGTTATAGAGTGTAAGCTGGTTTTCTTCAACGTTTGATCAGTTTTATACATGTATTTGAGCATATATTAAAATTTTTTCCCTATATTATACTTAGAAAAAGTACTTTAGAAAGAGTATTTATAATGTTTCTTCAAGCACTCGGATTGAGACATATTAAACGAGGTTTTGACACGTAAGAATTAACTCATTTTGTGATATGATTATATTTTTTTGGTTTATCCATTCTTATAATTTATTCTTATAATTTATTCTTATAATTTATTCTTATAATTTATTCTTATAATTTATTCTTATAATTTATTCTTATAACTGGCTCATTTAAAAGTGCCACGCAGCGCCTTGGAGAATATAAGCCTGACACTGAATCCACTTCGAAAGGCGTTGCACCTTTAGTAGAATTTTTTGAATTAGTTCACATTGCTGATTTGATACAACAAATGGTTGAAGTATACTTTACCGAAGAAATGGTATTAACTAATGTCGATATTTGATACTACTGTATTAAAATTTGTTGATTTGGCTAATATTTAATCAATTTTTAAATATAGAGCCGATTTATTGATAAAACAGATTTCTTTAATATTTGTATTAAGGAAAAGAAAACATTTGAAAAGAACCTTGATGAAAGCGTAGCAGCTGGTTTGAACAAAGGTATTCAGGTGAGTTTTTCGTATGTTGATAATAAATGTATTTTTGATAGAAGTTCATTATAAATGTATTATTTTTTTGTAGGTCCTTATTGATCACGTGGAATTTATACTAAGCACAGAACAGAGATCTGAAGAGTTTAATCCTCCAATAAACACGCCACTGGATTTAAAACCTACCAAGGTATTCATTATTTCATATAAAAATATTAAATGATAACCTACATTATAACCTATCCATTTACTTTTAATTAATGCTGTTTCAATTAAAAAGGCATGTGTACATGCGGTAGAGTGTCTTTCATCACATGCCAAATTGGTAATTGGTTGTTCAGATAAGAATACCTTGGATGTGTTCTTTCAAGAAATCGGGATTAGATTTTTTGGGTAAAGTATTTAGAGTTCATTTATCGATTCGTAAAACATAAAATTAATTTATGATAATTTAATATAGATCATTAGTAAAACATCTGAAAAAATATACTGTAAACATTAACGGTGGTTTCCAAGTTATCAGGTAAGAAAAATATTATTAATCGTTTGATATTTCAAATTGTTAAGAAAAAAATTCTATAAATAACTGCTTAAATTGGTTTTATCAATCAATCAAGTGATTTAAACCATTATTGCTCTTTCGCCACCTCTCTTAAACAACCAAGCATCACTTCGTATTTTATTGCCCTTAAAGAACTTGGGAGTGTATATATTATTTCTAATGCACGTGATGTCGGGTTATTCGTTAGGGAGGCAGGAAGATTTAAGGGTGTTTTCCTTGCTGAAGAAGTTTATGAGTTCTGCCAAAAACGTGAAGATTGGCTTGCAATTAAGCATGCAGTTGAGAAAGAACTATATGGTTTAAAGCCTGAAGATTGCGTGTTGATGTAATTGCTATTTCTCACCGAAAGTTAATATTTCGATTATTACTGAAAAATGGTTATAAGTTTAATGTTCTCGAAAAATTTGTTTGGAATATAGAAATTCTAAACTAGTCTTTTCTGAAGAAAATTTATCATTACAAAATATATTTAAAATTAAGCTAAACTAATGTTTAGTTTGTAAAAAATAAAAATAACTTTAATAATTTATTTAAATTAATTTTTATTGTCCGGAGCGGAGACATTTTGTTTTTACTACGGCTATGATAAACAATATCACTTGATTGCAAATATAAAATCTGGGACATGTAATTAATCATTAAAAAATATTATGTATAATAACTACCAAAAATTCAAATTAATTATTCAAATAAAAATGATCAAAACTGAAATTTGCTAAGCATGAATAAAATTTTATTTGCAATTATAGAAAAGCTCGCAATATACCAATTATTTCATTATCTCTATACAAATACTTCATAATTTTGTAATATTTTATTTTCTTTTAAGTTATAATTTGTAAATGGTTTTATTACATATTTTTATTTGTAAAATATAAAACTACAAGTCATGTTTTTTAGAAAACTTATTAAACGCTAAATTTCATAATTATTATTAATATTTGAAATCTTGATATCGATATTGGGTTCGAAATTCGGATCTTGACGTAACCTGTCCCAGATTTTCTATTTGCCACTTGATTATGCGTGTTTGTTCTATTCTCTTGATTATCCTAAATAATTTTTATCTGTAATAAAAAAAAAATAAATTAATGAAAATGTTCATCAAGTAGAATTTAAGAGTAATAGAAAAACGTAATGTTCCTATAAAAAGAGACTTCAAATTGTATTCCTTATGCGGAATCAAAACGATCTTTGCCGAAAAGAATTACAAAATAAACGGGTGACTAAGAAGGACGTTCACAGATAATTCTGCGGCCACGATGCGCTTCCAGTTCTTAATCATGGTATTGCTTGAAATCACCCTCGCTATAATGCCTTGGTTAAGATACACCCCCCTTGCCATATCTTTCAAAAACAAAATAGTTTAGGTGACCGTACCAGAGAGTCCAGAACGAAGGGGGCCTTAAAAGGTACAGTTGGATTATCCCCGGATATCAAACAACCCATATACCGTCATTTCATAATCCATTCAAGCAAAGTCATCTTACGCTACATTGTTCCATACAATAACCCCTTTTCTTTTTACTTATCGAAAAACAAGTAACGTAGACGAGCTCGTAATAGGCAATCTGAAGGAAAAAGGGATTTAACTACTACAAAAACTACCTTATGCGATTCTAAATCTTGTTTTCGTCGGTTGTTTCTTTTTCTTCTATAAATTGTTTATTGTAAAAGAGGGTATCTAACGTGCGCAATATTCGAATCACTCGTGTACAGCTGGGGACTTTCTCATTTTTCGGGAATGAAGCATGTGACACGCGTTTTGTAAAAACAAATAGCTAATAAATAATTTGGGCTGTGTTCTACAAAAAGGGGGGAAATCGACATTTAGATTATTTTGAGAAAATCACGTTTTTGTAAATCAAAACAATACCCGGTGACAAATAATGTAGATCTATTTTTTAGAATATTATTTACATGTGCCATGTGACGTAAACAATTGTATAATACACGTGATTTTTAATTTTTCACTATGTAAAAATCGTGTCACACTGGGTATTGTATACAATACTAGATGGTAAAGGTCATATGTAAAATTTAAAAAAATATTAAACTAGCATAATATAACTTTTGATTAGAATAATATAACTAGTTATGCTTTATTTAATGAGCTAATAAAAATTTTTTAGCCAAAATGTCGATTTCCCCCTTTTTGCTGAACAGTGCCTATATAGTATACCAGAAAATCCTGAATATACCCAAAAAATTCTGATCATCGTGCTGACCATTATACCAACTAATTTGTTACCTCTATTTGTTTAATTTTAGGGGAGATCAGGGGATGGAGGGGGATAATGTTAAACAAAAGTTTTGGTCCTAAATGATAATATTAGTATTATTTTTTATTTTATTTTTTCTAACAATGGCAGCAATGAAAATTTTATGTCTTTTATTTTTTAAATATTTTTCAAAATATTAAGCTAAACAGAAATATTACTGTTCTGTCTGTTACTTTAGCAGATTAGATTGGCCAATGTTATATTCATTTTTCGTTCACTTATTTTAAACTCTTAAAAAAAAAAGGCCAATGTGTCAAATTATGGTATTGTAATTTACACAGGTTAGTATGGTATGAGGTATAAAATACCTTATTTTAAAATTTGTATCATGCTGATTTGGTATCATATATTACTTTATTAGGTTCAGAGATTATATATATATAGATAGTATGGTACTAGTTTTTAAAATAGGTACTATACACTATTTTAGCATAATATTTTAGTCACCCATATTATAATATTGACCATTTTCTGATTACAGTATCTCACATCTTTTAGGTTAAGAGTTCAACATAGCATAGCACATATTTCAAAAATCTTATTGTAAAATATTACACAAGAAACAAACTTTTTGTCTTAGCACAGAAGTTTTCTTGCAAGTCGATTTACTTGCCTGTTGATTTAAATGATACTTAATAGGTGATAACAAAATTTTGTGAAGCTTATTTTTAGATACAAAATCTTTATAGAAGTTCTCTTTGCATTTCAATAGGTTTACATGTGCATTTAAAATAATGTAAGTTACATTTTCAAAATTATATCAAGGAAAATTAAATTATATGTATAATTTAAGTATTGGTATAATATGTTATGATACTGTAAGCATTTATATTATTTTAAAAATAAAAAAATAGTTTTTTCCGAGTGATAAAAAATCATAAATGGGTATAATAAATAATACTTTGAGCTTTTAATTGTATAGTTATTATTTACCGAATTTGGTCTTTAAAAACGATAGTACATTTCTGATATATGATCATAAAGTAGAGTAGGATATTCTGGTGCATTTAAGCTGCGCTGCAAATTATATATTTAAAAATTATTATTTATTTCTAAAACTCTTAGCACAAACCAATTTAACGCTTGGCAATCCCACAACTGAAAAAAAAGGAAATTATTACTAAAAAAATTATTTATCACGACTATTCTGAAAGCTGTTTTTAACTGTAATTTTATTAGGTAGGGGATTGTGGCATACTACTGGCATACTTACAAATGTTAAGATCTTCATACTGCATAAATTACATAGTTGATACTTTTTATACAAATAAATCAAGAAGAAACTTATTAATAAACAATATTAAAAAATTGTGTGATCTATTATGCATTAATATTACTAATAGTAGCATTAATTTTTTTTTTATATAAATATTCCTCTTTTTTTTGCTCTAACTCAACTCTCTTTTGTGCTTTTTTAGCCTCCTGATCAGCTTTTTTTTTAGCTGCTTCTTCCTTTTTTTGATTTACACTTTCTGTCTTCTTTTTTGCTAACCTGTTTGCTTCTTTCAATTGTTGAAAACTTTCTTCATTAGTGAAAAGTTGAGCAAACAGAAAGTTTTTCCTTTTTTTTGGCTAGATAGACTCTGATTCGACTTGTGTTAGAGCTCTTGAAGTGGGATATTTAAGAGATAGTTTTAATAAACAAGTAACAGAATTTTTATATATTTCAAGTTTCTCTTGTGTTGATTGGTATGTTTGTTTTATGGTTGCATTTTCTTTTTTTAATGAATCAATTTCTGCTAAAAGTTTATTTACTCTAGTAATACCAACCCAAGCAGATTTGTTTGGATGAAATGAATTATTTTAATTATTATTTAGTTAACTGGATGATGTAGTATTCAGTGAAGGCAGCTCTTGTTCAACTTGTACTGATGAAGATAAATTATCAATTTGTTCAACTTGTGATAAAGATAAATAATCGATTCGTTTAGTTAATAGAGAAAGACCAAGATGATCTAGGCTTATAGCATTAGGGTTGAAAGGCCAAATTTCCATAGCTCTATAAGTATTAGTAATTGCCTTAGAAGTGTAAGTCTTGATAAATGCTAGGCCAAGCATTTTTGCAAATGTGTGTTTAGTTACTAGTTTATTAGTTTCATTGCGAAGTTTGTTACAACCATTAATGTATTCAGATTTGAGTTTAGCAAAAGAAAGCTCAGATGGCTGGAGAATGTGAGTAGTATAAGATGGGAGCACATATAATAGAATTCTATTTATATGACAAAAGTTAACACTCATATAATTTACATGGCTTTTGTGTCTATTCAGTATTAAAAGAACAGACTGACTAGATAGAATAGAATTTATAAAATGTTTAATATACATTTGAAAAAGAGTTTTGTGCATATACCCTGAGTAGTAAATCCCATAACACTACTGGCTAGAGCACTATTTAACAAATTTGGAATTGCATAGACATCTTTGTTAGCAAATTTCCAATATAGTATGATCATGTGATTTATAATAAATCGAGTATGAAAAATAAGAACAATAAATAAGTTTAATAGCATACTGTAACCAATATATAATAATAAGATTTTAATCATAATGTTTGAATTTTTCCTAATTCGTTAATTTAAGCAGGAATAAAGAAATTTGAGCTATTCTCAGTTCGCTAAAACTATTCGCTGTTTACTAGGATTACAACACTTAATGCAAAAATTATTTTTAACAACACATAAATGAAGAAAATATGGTACTTTATTATTACTATTGTAAATAATTATACATGTTCGATCAATTTGATTTAAATACCTTAAGAAATCGATTTAGAAACAAGCTGACTTTAATTATACAAACATTAATATCCAATTATTCAATGCTTATTTTAGATTTCTCTTTCATCATTTATTAATATTATAAATTTGCATTAAATATATTATCTAGCCAACAAGAAATATACAATGATTATATACTATATATAACATTTAATTTGGATTAGGTGGTGTGGGCATCTATATTATGATGATATATTATGATGAGGCATTAGTAAAGCTATAACTATTTTACTCTTGACGCAAATATTTCATAGTGCGTAGTATAAAATG